AGCTTGTGCCGGAGGCCCCGGGGGGACAAGCATCTATGACGTCTCCTGGCCAAACCCCAATTGGCGGAGCCAGTAGATTGAATCTCTACCCTCGGGGCTCCTCCAGAAACAACGAAAAGCCACTTCGTGTGGCCACGTGGAATGTTGGAACGTTCACTGCGGAGGAGAGGCTGCCACTCCTCTGTCGGGAGCTGGACTGGTACCGCCTGGATCTCTGTGGCATTCAGGAGGTCCGGTGGACCGGTTCTGGCTCCTGCCACCATGAGGGGTGGAGAGTCCTCTACTCGGGGCAGCAGACTGCCAAACAACCGGGTGTGGCTCTTCTTTTGAACAAAAGAATGAAGGGGGCGTGGGAGCGTGGCGGTGAGGTGTGGGAAGCTGTAAGCCCCAGGCTACTTTGGGCTCGCCTTCCCATCAACCGGAGGCGAGGAGTGGTGGTCGTGGTTACTTATGCCCCCCCGAAGACAAACATCCGTGGAGGGATGCAGGCAAAGCCGATGAGTCAGATGCCTTCTATGACCTCCTGTCACAGGTGCTGGTTAAAGTGGCCCCTTGGGATATAGTCATCTCGTTGGGTGACTTCAATGCCCGAGTTTGTCATGATGCTGGCACCTGGTCTGGAGTGATTGGAGGGCATGGGCCAGATCAGCTCAATAACAACGGTAGGAGGCTGCTAGATTTTTGTGCGGCCCATGGGCTTGTAATTACCAACACACTGTTCCGGCATCGGCGCATCCACACAACATCATGAATGCATGCCGGGTCCAAGCAAGAACATCTGCTGGACTACATAGTGACGGACCAGCGGATGCAAGCCCATGTACTTGACACCAGGACCTACTGTGGAGCTGATCTGCACTCTGGCCATCAACTAGTCATCTGTAAGATGCACCTGCCATTCTTTCACTCCGGTGGTGGGTGTACACCCAGGACCCCATTCCAACCTAAAGTGGCCTGGTCTCAGTTATCTGATGAAAGTTGCAAGTGAGAATTTCATCATCGCTTGCGGCTGGGGTTGGCATCGTCCCCCACTCCTGATGTCGAGGGTAAATGGGCGAGGTTTAGGACTGTGATTCATGCAGCTGCAATAGCTGTTTTGGGTACGCGGTCCAAACCTGTCCAGAGACCCTGGCTGACAGAGGAGGTGTTCAGGATGGTTGAGAAAAAGCGACAGGCCCACTGTCATCGGCTACAGAATCCCACGTCAGAGAATGAGGAGGCTTACCGCAGCCTTCGCTCGGAGGTTCGGAGAGCCGTGAGGCACTGCAAGGATGGGTGGTGGTCGTGGGTTGCTGAGGAGATGGAGTCTGCCTCAGTGGCCCGCGATCACAAATCTCTATTTAACTCCATCAAAAAAGTAACCTGCAGCGCCACACCTATTACCATCATTAGGGGAAAAAAATGGTGATTCAATCTCCGACCCCCAGGAACAGGTTTGCAGATTTGCTGAGCATTTCTGTGATGTCCTGGGGGAGGGGAAATCTCTCAGCCAGGAAAATATCGTGGCACAAAGTGGGGATGACCCTGCTGAGGCTGCAGTGCCTCAAATATTGGAAGAAGTCACCCCCTGTGAGTGGCTGGCTGAGGTGCCATCTGTTGAGGAAGTACTGAAGGCGATCCGGAGTCTGAGACCAGGAAAGGCACCGGGTAGAGATGATCTCCCAAGCGAAATGCTGAGGGAGGGTGGCGTTTGTGCACAGACTACCCTATATGACATCATAACAACAGTCTGGACCACTGGACGGGTTCCGCAGGATTGGAAGGATGCCCTGGTGGTCCCCCTCTTTAAGAAGGGGGACCGGACAGACTGTAACAACTACAGGGGCATCTCACTCCTCAGTGTGCCGGGAAAGGTCCTGGCAAGGATTATTCAACATCGTCTTGCCACGGACACTGAGGAGAGGCTTGCGGAGTCCCAATGCGGTTTCAGGAAAGGACGGTCCTGCACAGATGCCATATTTTCTGTCCGTCTGCTACAGCAGAGGTGTAGGGAATTCCAGCAAGACCTACATCTCTGATTTATTGACCTGGTCAAGGCCTATGATACCATCAGTAGGCCTGGGCTCTGGGTTGTTCTTCGTGCTTTTGGAGTCCCTGACCCTCTGCTCATGATCATTAAGGACCTTCATGATGGTGAGCGGGCCCAGGTAAAACTACGTGGCCGGGAGCCAGAGCCATTCCCTGTATACCTTGGGGTGCGACAGGGATGTCCTCTGGCTCCCACATTATTTAACATCTATTTTGACCACGTAGTTCGTGAAGCCTTCAGTAGCCGTACCGGGAGAATCTCCATTTGGTACAGATATAATGGGAGGCTGATCGATGCCCGGGTGCGGTCAAGGGATGGCTCCCTATTGCTCAACCACATTATTTATGCCGATTATTTGGTAATAGCTGCTCATTCAGAGGAGGAGTTGGAGACGCTGCTGCTGAGACTGGAGCGTGCCACTAAGAGATGGGGCCTTACCATCAGCCCCACCAAAACTAAGCATCTGCCTGGGTATTTTGTACCAACGTGTGTTTGGGTTGTACCTACAACAACGGAGGGCGGAGGAGCGACGCTCACAACAACGAGTGGAGTGCCGGGTGGCTAAAGCACAGCAGGTTGGCATAGTAGGGGGCACAGGTGGTGCATCAGCCAGTCATCTCAGTCATCTTAGTCAGTCGACCCGTTGCACTTGAGTCTGCCCCGTGACCTCCTGCCAGCGGGCGTTCGACACTTCACGTGGCCTCAAGGTGCACATGGCCTGGCACAAGCGTCGTAGTGACGTCACCGCCACTTAGTGGCGAATGGCGGTTGTTGTTGTTGTTGGAGCTGTGGTGCAGCGGTTAGCGCGCGGCGCTACGAACCCGGCGGGTCCCGGGTGTGATTCCCACTCACGGCCAATACCAGTAACGATTATCTGAACCGCTCCTGGGTGTCCCTTAGGTAGACTCAGTCTCCAATAAGTGCCTTGTGCGGTGTGTAGTGTTGGCCACCCCTCTTGTGCCGTGTCGGCCTCCATAGGTGATCATTAACAGCACTTGCCTTAACAGTCTGCTGCAGGTTATACGGGGGATCTTTGTCTTTGGAGCGATGGTGCAGTGGTTAGCACAATGCTCTATGAACCCAGTGAACCGATTTCGATTATCGCTCACGGGCAACACCAGTGACGATTATTTGAACAAGTTCTGTGGCTCCCCTAGGTCGAGTCAGTCTCAAATGGGTAATTGGTGCAATGTGTAAATATCGCCACTGGGGAGATAAAGGCGGCCGGATGTGGTGTTGCCCCCCCCCCGCCCCACGAAGATCTTGGTCTTTGGTTCCTCGGGTAGCAGTAGCGTAGTGTGTGTCACTGGGTAGCATAGTGGTATGCGTGTCACAGTGTGTGGATCGCCTAGTAGGGGGAGCGGTGGTGCAATGGTTAGCGCTATGAACCCGGCGACTCGAGTTCAATTCCTGCTCATAGCCAAATCAGTGCCGAATATCTGAACTGGTCAGGGGCCCTTCACGAGGTAGACTCAGCCCCAAGTGAGTACCTGTTGCAGTATGTGAACATCAGCACTGGGAAGACAAAGCCAGCCAGGCAGGTTGCTGGCCACACAGCGCCTCTTGTGCACTGTTGGCCTTCGTAGGTGCTTGCTCGCAGCACTTATATTTGGAGCCTGGGAATAGGCGCACCTTCTGTGTGGAATAAAGCCACTCTGGCAGGTGCAAATTCTCACTGAGCCCTGAACAACAGCAATAATTATGAGGACTCCATCAGCGAATGCACGCGGATGATTAAAAAATGGCTCAGGGTGTTGTTCACTTCACAGCGCCAGGCCCATTGTACGTCTGCCACGAGGGACGAATTTGGACAATTACCCACAATTACGGAAATTAGCAGACGGCGAAGGCTTTTTGAGAATCTGGAATTCACGCTGGGTGGCATGCTTTTGGCAAGTGCTCCCGCTGATGATTTATTTTTTACAATATATTTGAGCACATTCTTTATCTAGCACACCCTTCACAGGTGTTACCTTTGCATACAATATTTGTAAAAAAAAGATTTTTCAAATTAGTCTTGTTACATTTTTTTGCCTGTATTTAACTGTACAATATTCTGCTGTGTGGTTCATGTGTGTGACTCATAATCACAAGGTCGTCTCCAATCCATCCTTCGGGTCGATTAAATAAAGTGCCACTTTTACCGGAAGCTAATAGCTGCTGCACTGCGAGTTGAATCACCCTGTCATAAGGGTGTGGAATATCCAGCGCTGGCTCAGGGTTGTGCATAGGAGACAAATACCGCAGCGCACACTCATTGGAGCGACAACTTACTTTGACCCCAAGTCTCCCTTTTGCAAAAATGTAAACCGTTAAAAACTCACACATGCATCATTAACGCTGCCTCCTTATGAAAGAAAGGCGTGTAATTGGATGACCCATTAACCAGTGGCCATTCTTCATAGTTTTTATCTGAAGAATGAACAATTATTTTTTTTATTCAAAGATACCTTGGTCAATTCACTGCTGGGTGAAGTCCTCTCCATTCTGTGTTGGTCACAGGGGTTGTTTGACCATACTGCACCATGCTGGTCAGTGTCGGTTGGTGAAATTCAGATTTCACTTCACACCGGTGTCAGCCGTGGCCGAGCTTCAAACGCAGGTTCAGAGCGTGGCACGCTGTGCCGCCTGTCATTTTTGCGTAACCACGTTGCTTTATTGGTGAATATGCCGCGTATTTATTGATTTATTTTCCGATGAGTTCACATGTTCTACCGCGTGTCGTTCGGGATCATGTCCGACGTTCCGCTCGATGCGCCGAGAGCTTCTTCAGGAACTGAATTCACTTGTGTATCTGTGACCCATCGGAGAGCGATAGAGCACAACCACAAAAACCTATGCAGTCGTTGTTGGACTCTGTCTATGCACCATTATTCACTGTTCTGGGACTCTGTGACTTCTTGTGCTTTGGGCAACTCTCTACCCTCACCGTACCCAATTATCAATGCCCCCCAACCTCCATTGAATGCAGTCGTGACCTCCGGGGACAAGAGGAGCGATGGGAAACACGGAGTCTGGAGCAGAGGATGTGGTGTTCGAGGGACCGGGAGCCCCGGATAAAGACCTTGACGGAACGATCAAGCTCAAGTCGTATGTGCAGCGCTCCAGCCTCACTGACTCTGAGCTGCCGCCCTTGAACGGCACCCACGACGCCCAGGTGAGGGCCGCAACCGATTCGGGCAGAGAGTTTGTTGGGGCAGTCCTTGAGAGCGACATTTCTGGCACTGAGTCGAGTTGTAGTTGTTGTTGTTCCCATGCATCTGAAATGTATTCTAATGAAACTAAACTATTAAACTAAACACTTTTTCACAATATAGATTTTTGGGTTAGATCGCGTGAAAATAAATTTGTCGGTAAACCCGCCGCCACTTGACACAGCCAATTAGCAAGGTTTGTCACGTAAACAACAGCAAATGTTGTGGGTTTACTCTCCGGCACATCGGTGTGCTGTACTAGTAATGAATTGGCATGTTTTGTTTACGTGACAAACCTTACTAATTGGCTGTGTCGGGTGGTGGCGGGTTTAATGCTACGTTTATATTCACACGATATAACCAAAAAAACTCTATTATGAATAATATTGGTCGTGAATGGGTTAAACTGAACTATTTTTTATTTTAGCAGGTAAGGTCCACTGAGGTATATAGCTCTTTTTCAGAAGCGACCATGCCACAAATGATAGTTCAACGAAGCAGCTTATCACGTGGACATTCTATAGCAGCCAAATACTCTCAAACACATGTTTCTAAAACCGGAGAACCCGGAGAAAAATCCACATGACCACGTGGAGAAAGACATGCAAGCTCCAAATATACGGGCGTCGGGGTCGTGATCGAATCCATTATTGCCACTGTGGTGCCCCCTAATCGTGTCGAATGTTCATCCAGAAAAGCCTCACCGAGCGAATGAGTCTCAAAGCTCAGTTCCTTTATCAGGGTCCTGCGATGGGATGTTTGGCTAATTGCCTCTGGGAGGTAAGCCCACGTGCAAGAGGGAATAACAAACAATCAAAGGTCCACACAGATGGGTTCTTGAACCCAGTTTGCGGTGTTTCCATCTTCAAGTGAGCTCAAAGCCCAGAAGCACATGCCTAAAGAAGAAGTTCAAAAACCAAAACCAGCGTCTATTATCTACTATGACACATGGACCAGAAACATAGACATTGACAAAGAATGTGAAACAAAAGCTGGAAAGTCCATAAAGAAGCATGGGGAGGGGCATGCTTGGAAAATAACACTGAGAGACGGGAAGAGGAACACACAGATTAGAGAACACAAGCAAGTTATAGACACCATGTGGGCTGTTCATGAAGGTGAATGGGCTTGGGGGGGAGGGGACGTCACGAGAAGGGATTATAGACTAGCGGCCGAGATTAACGATGGAATAACATCCAATGGAGGGAACGCAGCTGAGAGGATGTCCACCGTGGTTAATGAAGCTATGAAATAGCTTCATTATCAAGCTCCTGCGTCGCAGGACCTTGATAGATGATGGCTTGTGAGGAGGCCTTCATCGAGCAGTGGATAGATCATGGCTGATGATGATGACACTGGCATCTCTTACGAGTCCACACAATCGCCTGGGTGAATTGTGTTTCCATTCTTATCGAGTGCCTGTAACGAGCATTGGAAACTGTGATAGAGAAGGTGAGTGTGTGGGAGGGAATTTGAGCTGTTTTAGCTGAGGACCATCTGAGCGAATGAAAAGTTTAAAAAGTAAAAACCTACACACAGCTTGCGGAAAGTACTTCGAAATTTTGTTTGAGCAAAAGTCCGAATGGGTTTTCAAACAATTGTTTTCAAACGATAACGGCGCCCCATGCAGAGAGTTGCTGGCGAGCGAGCCTGCACCGTTTGAACCCTTCTTTCCGTGTGGTCAGAAAAAAAAAACTCTGCAGAGAAAATCGTTCCCAAACCTCCAACTCTTAACGCAATCCTCGGCAACTAAAAATACATTTCTCTGAAAAAAATCAATCTCTATATATCTAGAGATTGAACTTCTAAACTGGAAAACCCCTGGTGATGTGGAAGCGGTGAAGTGGGTGTTTGGGAGGAGGTGGTTTTGGGTGACATTGTGGGTGGGTGTTGAGTCCAGGGAGTTTGGGGTTTGAAGGAGGTTGTGGACATTTTTTGTTTCACTTATCAGCATTCGCCAAAACGTTCTGAGGCCACTTGACTCATTCCATTCAATCGCCAAGTGGAAATTCTCATTTTTCGCTGCCGTGAACTGAGGCGGCACTGCCTGGACATGCCCTCTTACACAGACTTCACAGTTATCTGAGCTCCATACATTGGACGTAACACAAACAAGCAGTAGCTTTATGCAATGATACATTTGGTCACAGCGACAAATAAAAATATGACTTTGCAGTTGTTCTGTAAAGTTATAATAATCCGGTACATTTGCTATTCACACCATTCTGAGAGCGCGAGGCTATCACAAAGGAGCTATGCTTCACAGACACTGTCTGCAGTATTTTTTGCAGTGGACGGATATTCGGAAGTCCAATTGAGTAATTCACAATGCCCTAATTGTTTCATATGACGTCAGGGGATCTGCAGCGTCCACTGTGAAGCAAAAGGCGCATATTCGTATGGTTAATACACCCGCAGTATTAACCAGGGTGGCCTGACATGTTCGAACCACAAACCCCTGCAAAAGAGTGGCGATCACGCTACCACTGGGCTATGTGTAACTCTCTCCAACGTGTGTTTGGGTTGTACCTACAATTAGCACGGTTGGCTACGTGCGGTGCAAAAGATGTTCAACATACATACCTACCGTGTGTGGCCCTGCTCATTGTCCGACGTTTTGCTCCACGTGCTTCTTGTGCTTTTGGAACTGAATTGTTCTTCAAGCACTTGAATTCGGTTGACAAAACGACTTCACCACCAGCAGTGCCATTGACAACTGCTTGCTGGCTTACAAAGCCCAGCTTGCATCTTTTGCACGGCTGCCAAAGCCCATGCCTGCGGTTTTATTTATAAACTCCGAGCTGATGCGAGGATTGCAGTTGAGGTTGCCACCTCTGAGATAAAACAAAAACCTGGACGTATCATGGGAAGAAGATGAATATCTCACATTCTTCCAGAGGAGGGGGAGAACAGCGTGAAAATGCATTGCCTTGTGTGGCTGTATTATTGCGCAAAGGACTTAATGTACCAGGAACACTCAAGAGATCTCCAAGAACAGCCACCTCAACAAGTAGGACGATCCAGGGAAAACCGGGGCAGGTGGCAACTCTCGGCTGGCAATGGTGGCAGCAGCAGCAGCAATGCCAGGGCGAGTGGGGGGGTGGGAGGCGGGGATGTAAGAAGCACCGCATCCCTGAGTAACACTGCCTCATCCTCAAGTATGTGCCTCTCCTCGTAAATTAGACCGCCCTCCCCTCCCCCGGGCTAGGAACCTCGCTTACTATCATGCAAAGCAAAGCCGTGGACGAATAAATAAAAGACTGAACCCACATGCGACCGAGAGGGCACTGAACAGGCCCAAATACACGGTGGGCTATAAATACAATTTTGTAAAAAAAACAATGTTTCAACACGTTCTTCAATAACACCGTGGCCTGAAAAAGGAACACTGTATGACAGGTAACGTTTCGGGTTAATTGCCTTTCTCCATAGCACATACAAAAGTAGCTAGAGAGATCACTCCGTGTTTGCTCCATGTGCGAAGAAAAAAATAGCCATTGGCCAAAATGTACCCTATTCTATTTTTTTTCCTTTATAGGCCACGGTGTTATTGACGAATGTGTTTGAGGGTTTTTTTTTATTAAATCAATTGTGGTTGCGGACCACTGCGATGGCAAGCAGCAGCAGAACCAGAAATAATGTTGTTAAATTGCGATTTTAATGCCCTCGGGGTATTTTTTGGGTGCTGCAGCTTTTTTTGTATCGGGTTATTAGTGACTTAAGTCGTTGTGTTGGGTGCGGAATGGGAACCATACCAGAATGGTTGATATTAATCATCGTCATCTGACCTGTTTGTGTCAATATGAAAGCCGCATTGCCACCAGTTGCGTCACCTCATTGGACCTGGGCTAAACCACAATGCGTGGAGGGAACATTTGCATTGTTTTTAATTAATGTACTCACTTACGTACCAGCACACACGAACCAAGCACACATACACGACGATATTTTGTTACATAAATGACGAGGCTAAGAAGGACAGTGAGGTATTAATTAAATGGCGTATAGAGAAAATAACTATACCCAACAGAATGTGATTCCCCCCTGATTGTTGAGTTGGTTTCACCCATTGCTTGTTTTGATGGGCGGGTGAGTCTAGAAGTTTCGTTTGGGCAGTGATTGACTGTGTACGTGGCTGTGTTCACGTACGTGTGGTTGTGTGTTCACATGTGTGTATGGGTGTGTGGTTGTGTTTTTACTTGTGTATGGGTGTGTGTGTGTGCTTGAGTTTCACTCGATTGTGTGTTCACGTGTGCGCGCGCGCTTGCATTCTCACTTCCGTGTATGGGTGTGTTCTTGAGTGCGTCTGCGTTGCTGTGTCTGCTCGTGTGTGTGTGTGCGCACTTTTGTGGTCATATACGGGTGTGTGCATGGGGAGCGGTGGCGCAGCGGTTAGCGCACTGCGCTCAGAGGAGGGCTACCCAAGTTTGAATCCCACTCACGGGCAACACCAGTGACGATTATTTGAACCCGTCACGGGGCCTGATGAGTAACCTGGTCCAGTGTGCAGTAAACATCGTCACTGGGGAGACAAAGGCGGCCGGGCGTGATGGGTCTCTGTGCGCATGATTGTGCGTGCGTGGGTGTCGGTTTTTTAATGTTTTCCTCCAAAATGTATTGAGAAATATCACTCCACCCCCCCTGTAACTTCCGTGTTCCATTTCCCCACTTGTGATAACTCCTCGGCTACCGTGTGAGATCACAACGCAGTCAACGTGGAGTATTGTGCCATTAACGTTGAGCCCAGCATTGCATGTTTACTTGGTATGCAACGTGTGAGAGAGATCGCATTCAACTTGCCGGGCTAAGCAACCGCGACACTTGACTGATGGCAACACGGGCGGAGGTCAAGAGAGACCCATCGTGGTCCCAAACAAACCAGATCACATCTCAGAATTCTCTCATCACCCACGCACTCCTTGTGTGTGTGTGTGGCAATGTACGTGGGTTTGTGTGTGGGGAGCGGTGCTGTGGCAGTTTATCGCGCCGTGCGACAACAACCCAGCGACCTGAACTCGATTCCCGTTCGTGGCCAACACCGGCGACGATTATCCGAACCGGTCCTGGGCCTCCCTTAGGTTGACCCAGCCTCAAATGAGTACCTGGTGCGCGATGTGTAAACATCGCCACGAGGGAAACAAAGGCGGTCGGGCGTGGTGCTGGCCACCCACTCACTCGTGTGCCGTGCCTGGCCTTCATAGGTGCTCGCTACCATCACTTGGCCCCAACAGTCTGTGAGAGGCTATACTGGCGATATGTTCCTTTGTAGTTATGTGTGTGTGTGTGATTGTGTAAGTGTGCGGTGGTGCAAGCTACTTACGTTTATTTCATAGCTCCCATACATTGGCGTAGCGTGGTTGGCATGGGACCCCGGTGCAAGGAATGAAATGGAGCCCCCTTTAACAATTTCGCCCCCTCTGTGTAGCCCAGCCCCTGGACCTTGGGCCAACATCATGCTGGCCCAAGGTGGGCCCCCTCTGGTCCATGGGGCCAGAGGGGGCCCTGGGCCTGCGGTGCCGTCGCTGCGTCTGCGCTCTCGTCACCGATAGCGCAGCGCATGCAACCCAGAACCCCTGGCTGACAGCCACTTCGATTTGACTTGCCAGTAATCGTCTGGGGCATAGAAAAAGCTCGAGACGGAACATCATTATCATCCATAATCTATGTCCGGCATTGCTGGTTAATGAGGACAAAGTGTCTCGGACGTGAGCGGTGATTGACGAGGTTCTCGACGCGTTTTGGGGTTTCACAACGGCTGCTGCTTTCGTTGTCGTTTCGCTGCGATCGATCGTCTCCTTCCCAACTTCATGACCGGCAGCGATCGGAGCCAAAGAACAAGCACAGCCTCGGCCCTCGGCTTTGGCAAAACATTGGGCGTGTAAATATTTAAAGAGCCAGCTCTCAGCAGCTTAAATCACAATCACTGTGCCATTGAAGTGCAAGTGGATCCAGTGATGCAATGACCTGACCCCTCAAGTGAACATCTTATTTTCTCCGCATGGCAAAGGACACAGATTCCAACCCAACTTGCTCAGCCAAAACACATTTGATCCCACTGGACTTTGCTCCTCGCCTGTACATACCAAGCACTCTTTGTACATGTAGACACATGGTTGTCCTTGTAGAGAGATTATAGATAGATTGTAGATAGAATGTTGGGCAAGTTCCGTTTGCGAGCACCTATTCAGACCAGAATTGCGTATGAGTGGTGTAACCAGTGCCACACCTGGCCACCTTTGTCTTCCCAGTGCTGACGTTAACATGCCTAACTGGGTGCTTATTTAAGGCTGAGTCGACCTAGGCCGGGCCCAGAAGAGTTTCTGAAACCACTTGCCACTTAAGTTAGCTGTGCACCGGAATGAACCTCAGGGCGCCAAGTTAACAGCGCAGTCCCTAAAACACAGCGCCACCCCTCCCTCCAACAACAACAGCCCCCCTAAGTGGCGATAACATCACCTGAACTTCCGTGTGAAACTATGTGTGTTTTCAGGCCATGTGGCTTGTGGGTGGAAACCAAAGAAATTCCGTGCATCACAGGGAAAATCTAGGCGATAAGGGTGAACAGAGATGACCGGCAAATGCACTGCCTGCACTCCCCACTGTGTCAACTTGCTGTGTCTTAGCCAGTTGGTGTGCCACTCGTTATTGGGAACTTCGCTTTTCCACCCTTCATTGCTGTAGGAGGGCGGCTGCCTCCAGCTGCCCAGTAGCGTCCTTCATGTGCCTCCACCACAGAGGCCGATCTTCATGTAACTGTTGCAGACAAGTCCACTCATCTTCAGGGGCGGAGCCACAGGGGCGGCTGGGGGGTCTCAGCCCCCCCTGAAATTTTGGGAAAGTCGGTAATTGGGATAACCGGATATCCGGCTGCTGCAAAATGCTGGTTGTCACCTTGTACTGTCCTGCAGGCTGCCACCTTGTGCTGCCCTGCAGGCTGCCACCTTGTGCTGCCCTGCAGGCTGCCACCTTGTGCTGCCCTGCAGGCTGCCAACTTGTGCTGCCCTGCAGGCTGCCACCTTGTGCTGCCCTGCAGGCTGCCACCTTGTGCTGCCCTGCAGGCTGCCACCTTGTGCTGCCCTGCAGGCTGCCACCTCGTGCTGCCCTGCAGGCTGCCACCTTGTGCTGCCCTGCAGGCTGCTTGAGTGGCAGTCTTTCGAACTTATCAAATTTATTAGCCACATCAGCGGCTCCGACCTATTAATAAACTCCGCGTTCAAATCCAATAAAATTAGTTTTATACATTTGTGGCGCCCATTGGAAAACATAAACACTGAATATCTCAGAATATTGAAGTCAGCCCCCCCAAAGTCAAAATCCTGGCTCCGCCCCTGCTCATCTTCAAGTTTTTCTCTACCAAATCAGCCCATCTCTTCTCTCGCACGTGTCAAAGCTGTTTAGCCCCCTCTATCCACTCAAACGCAAACTGCTTGGGCATGCAGGCTACATGAGTCAGCCAATGTAACCGGAGGGGCCCACCGAAGGGACTGTGTACACACCTATCATGGGTTTGTGAATCCATCATAAAATCCAGTCTGGTTAATTCCAGGATGGATCGTTGGCAAGCCAGCCTGAAAGTTGCAAGCCAGTGCAGATGTTCCTGTAAAGGGGGTACAGAGTTTGCAAGCATATAAGATAAAATGTGTAACTGCGGTGGATAAAACATAGAGCTGTGGAGCGACAGGTCAGGCAGCTTCCACATGGCGTTACGCAGCCGATGAAACGATAACGCCACTCGACTGGTTCAGAGTGAGATGCTACCAAGCTGAAGCCGGGCATGGGCACTCTCCGAAGACAAAGACACATAAGCACACATGCAAAAGACCTCCCCATTAGCTGTTGTAGACTGTCAGCATGAACCCTATTGAGTTTGCAAGACCTTTGCTTGCATGTGCCTGGACATCAGATAACTCCCACGCATACAGAACAACTCCCATTCCACAGTTCTGTCACAGCCGTCTGTGCTGTCATCTCTTAAAGTCCAGGTTCAAGACCTTCCTTTGGCTATGACTGTCTCTTCTCTTAAAACAAAAATATGCGATATGTACAACACAGTTTATACATTGTAATAATCATACGTAACTTAGAGCTGTTCATCAATCTATCCTTCCGACGCTGTTGTTTGACCATACTTCACCACGCTTGGTCATTGTGGGTTGTTGAAGTGTGGGGAGCTTGCGGAGGTGGAAGGGGGGCAGGAGGGCCCCAGGACCAGTTGAGATATCACTCGCCACTGATGTTGTTAGCCGTGTTAACCATGGCTCAGAATCGAACTCGGGTCACCAGGGTCTGTAAGCACGGTGCGTTCACCACTAGCGCTGCACGCGGCTGCACACGAGCGCAAAACGACCGAGATACTCGCACGTCTCGGCGCACGCATCGCGAGCGTAGCGGCCGACTTTTGTTCGATGGACGAGTCGCTCCGCCGTCAGACGCTTGTTACACCTCCGCGCCGGGCCGCCGTGTGCATTCGCGTGGGGAGCAGGTGGGATCCGGCAGCGGCGGCGATGATGGCGGTGGCGGAGCGAAGAAAGGAAAAGTCCTCTCGGATGATGACAACGGCAGCGTGTTCGTCGACCCCTCCACCGAGGAAGGGAAGGAGCTGCTGCACCGCACGCAGGCGCTCGCCGCGCAGGTGCTGGATGACGGTTCCGGGAAGGCGGGGGGCAAGCTGCCGGGGTCAGCGCCCGGGGTCGCCGAGGGTCAGCCTGCCGGAACAACTGGGAAGGGCACGGCGACGCGAAAGCCGCCCCTGCGACTCTTCTCCAGGGACGCGCCTGGTGAGCGGAAGAGGGGCGGAGGGGCGGAGGAGAGACGCTTTGCTTTTAGTTGATTATTTGTGCAGTTGCGTTTATTCGCGTTTTGACTCGTAACCCGCGTCACCCGTTGGCAAAGAGACTGTTGGTCTGGATAGGTTCTTCCCTGGTTGAACGTGAAGGCTCTGCCTGCGTGTGTGTGTGTGTGAGATCGCCAACGCTCAGCCGCTTACACTTGCAGCCTTACTGTCAATGCTCACCGGAGAAGATTAACATTCTCACTGTGTGTAATAGGGATTTAGGATTTGAGATTGGAATTTGTTAATTCTGAAAAAAAACATCAGTTTGTATTAACTTACGCGTGGACATATACATTCATTTTATCATTCCACTGCTGGATCAGGGGCTGTCCATACCCTCACCTTTTTTTTTACCAAGTTTCACCGCCCTGATCAGCGCCGAGTTGGAGAAGATGTGGAAGCATAGAAGTAGAGTACAACGTCGGATTTTTGCCGCACTGCCCTGCAGCCTATAGCACCTGTTATAACACACTGCACTGCAATGCCAAACTTCTAAACCAATCGCAATACTTTGCCATCTCACTTCACAACTTGAATAACGATCCGTTAAAACAGCTCGCTAATCATCGTCGCAAAAGGAGTTTGAGCATTTGTGTAAGCTAAACTCTCCCGCACTCAAACGAACTCGCTTTGACAGTGATGGGAATTTCATATCCTTATGACAGGGGCTTGTCTCTGTAAAGGACAGCACTGTCTCACCATGAGCCTGAAATAAATAACTAACGCACAATCACAGCCCTATTTCATTCCACTGCTGGATGACGACCTCTGCATGCTGTGCCGGTGTTCAACGATTCTTGACCGCGCTCGTCAGTGTGGCTTGGTGAACAAGAGCTTGATAGCTCATTGGATTTCTCCAGGATAAATAAAGATTTTGATTCACATTCATCACGGATGTTAGCCACGGTTGGGAATCAATCTCAGGCTGCCGAATTCACAGCGCAGTGTGTCACCGCTCCCCTCTTAAACAATTGTTTAACCATGAATGCTAAACCCCAACCTTTAACCCTTGATCCCAAAATCCTAAAACTTTAACCTGAATGCCTTTATCCTTAAACCCTAATCCTTAAAGCCCATAAAATGCACTTATTTATATAATCTTCAATTAGAAACATTGCTGCTTTCAAAGGAATTTAGGAATTTAAATTAAAATCATTTGATTTTTCGATTTTCTTATTTAATTCCATATAATTTATTTTGTGACTATAGTAATACAGTGTCATTTAACTACAACCAGTTGCGAGGCCACTAATTATGATGACCCCCCCCCCCCACCTTGCCCCAGAGACCCGATAATCATCACGATCGCCTGGCGAATCAACTCAACATTCGATTGTTTTTTTTCCCCGTCTCATCCGTAGCATTCCCGTTCGCATGCTTATTTTTTCCCCCCATCACCTTTGTACAAGTGTTGTTCGCCGAAAATGTGACATTAGCGTCTAATCTGCATATACTTTGCATCGGTTGAAAGCAACCCGATTCTGGCGCAACGTGAATAGGTTACATCGTCATCCATCATGAGCGAGAGTATCGATTCGAACGGTTGCATCAATGCGTCGGCACGCGCGTGCCCCCCCCCCCCCCCCCCCCGTGTCCCTTGGGCAAGGCAGAGCAGCCAGAGAGCGAACATCTGAACGTCAAGGTGTAGCCCCAACAATTGCTCGCTCACACCACCGCCGGCAGCAGGGCATCTATAATTATTAGAGGGCAACCCCTAGACATCCCGCACTAAGAGGATATTCGGACCTACTCTTCCATCATTGGCCGGACACCTTCGAAGAGGTGGGCGACCCACACTTGAATCCATTGTGCGGTACCTGCCAGTCGACGCTCCCATTTATACTGCTCGCTGGGCGGGGTGGGGGGGGAGATTAATTAACTTGCCCCACTGTTTCAACTGTACGTATGTATGCTGAACTTTCTATAGCACCGTACGTAGCCAACCGTGCCAATTGGACGCAAAAACGCAGTTCTAAAGAAATTAATTTAGATTTAAAAGTGCATAGCTCCAGTGGCTGCCTATATCGGAAGGAAGAGCATTCCAAACGGCCGCAGAAGCGCATCTGAAAGCGCGCGATGCAGTGACCGTCTTTGTTCGGATGGTTAGCCAAAAGCTGCTGCTGCGAGGATGACTGGAGTTATGACTGGCGCACCTAGAGATCGAATTGAACGGGCGACCTCTGGATAACCAAGATTATCGAGTCGAGCGTGAAAACCATTCTAACCAAACTTGATTTGGCGCTTTCGTGACTGCAGGAATTACTCTTTGTTTTTTTCGGCAAAGTCACGTAGAAGTAAGAAATAATAATAAAAATTACATAAAAGCACACGACGTTTCGATTGCAACGCAAGCAATCATCATCAGGCATAGAAGAGCTAAATTTAAGAGAGAGAGGAAACACAGGTGACATTTGAGAGAGAGAGACAAGACACATACACGGATACACAAACAGAGACAACGCACAGACACAGACTTGATACCTCCCCGTAGAGGTGGTTCAAACTTGATTTGTCGGGCCAGCATCTCCGACAACAAGTGGTTCGAGTGTGCGAGCAATGTGCCTGAAGCGCAGAGTTCCCACAGCGTTGGCCCCCCGGGCGTGCGAATTCCCTTTCGGCGTGCGGTGTCGCCTCGTAGGGGTCGCGGGCCCCGAGTCCCCGTGCGGCGAGGACAAGGCGGACGGCGCTGCGCCCGTCCCCGCCGAACGCTCCCCCCCTCTCTTCAAGCGGCTCTTCTCCCGCGACGCCCCCGAGCGCGACGACAACACCTTCAAGAACAGGCCCTCCGAGTCCTACGACCTCGAGTCCGTCGAAGAAGGTGAATCCGGAGCGGGCAAAGAACACGATCGCGCGGAATAGTCGTTCAGCGTCGTCGTGCGGAAGGCGCGCGGTGCAGCGAAAGGGACAGGCGGACGGTCATGTGCCCCTTCACATGTATCAGTAACTTTTAAAACAAATGTGTAAGTGTGTGCGATTGTGCAATTGTGCGTGGGGGTGCAAGCTACTTAAACTTAAGTATTTATTGTATTTATTGCACAACGCATCGACCGTACGGCCTCCTGGGAGTCCACAATTTCAGCAGCAATGATTCAAGCCGAGCAAACTTTTGCACCAGTTTCCATTGCACGACGATTGACAAACCCTGCAAATGTAAACCTCGTGGGTAGCCGGTTGTATTTGCAGCATGGTGTGATGTTCAAATATTGACACTCGTCTGTTTTTTTTGTTATTATAATACGATGCACTTTCCCCCCTGTGTATGAAAGCAAATCTGAGTTGTGTAACGCTACTGACCCCAGTCACAAATTACGGGTGCGTCTTTTTCTTTTCCTGGAGCCTCTTATAATCCGGAGGATATGGTAAAAAAAAAAGTATGTGGCAGCCCATCGTACGGATGAGATAACGTGTTCTCACATGACGCTCACCACTCATCAAGTAAACCTGACATCCGCTACTGACCCGGTTCATAAACTCATGACATCCGCTACTCACCGGTTCATAAGCCCGAGTGGGAAGCTCATTGAGATTCAGTGGCTTCTCGATTCCCCCCCATCACCCAAACCCAACCCCCGAAGAGCGACAATAGGGCCTGATGAACGCCCTTCATCACTGTTTATCTACTACTGGGGTTTGTTGCTTCGGTCAAACATTTTCGCCTTGCTGTTCCTCGTATGTTTGCCGCAAACCTTCTTGTGTGCTGATGTTGCTACTCCGAGGTCTCTTTTCTAACGAAAGAGAGGATGCCAATTTCCCCCCCCCCCTAACTGCGTCTTTGTTTTAACGCAGCCACCGTGATATTGCATATCTGACATGGTATGCGTGTTTTACATAACGTGGTTTTTTCTACACATATGAAATCCTTACCATGCGGAGGGCTGATCCCTTTTCATGACTTGGCTTTTGTTCTTTTGTTTGTGCATTCGTGATTTTTTTTCGGCATGCGTTTCTCATTTCCCAACATAAAATGCAGCGATGCACCCCCCCCCCCCCCCCCCTTCTTGGTGGAGTGATAAATACATAAATAAACACAGCCAAGAATTATTGGAAGCCAAAGCCAGTACGTGTTTGTCAGAAAGGCTGTGTTTATTTGTGTTTAGTTCTCTATGCGCATGTTATTGAAGCTACACGCAGGCAGAGAGAGAGAGAGCTGGCTTATCTTTGCTGCTGCTGCTGCTACTTGCATGAGCGAGCGGTTCAAAACGACGTCAAGAAATTCCACTTGTGAAGTGCGTTAGCCCAGCATTGTCCGATTGATTGCCTGAAAGCGGCAGCAAATGTGCGGAATGTAAAATTGTGAGCCTATGCATTAAATGCCGGATTTTCCCATTAATCGTGAAAGTGTGCATTCAACCCCGTTCCAACAAGCCCCGCGACCTACACGGCTTACGGGAGGCCACCGTCAAGCAGCGGGTTGACAAAAGGGCCGGACGTTTTTCGTACGCAACGAACTTCGGCTTCACGCCAGATCATCTCCCTTGCAGGGGTTACCGCTTGTCTCAGTGTCACCTGACCTGGGTAAAATAAATCTGCAGTACAACGTCGCATATCCGAGTCTTGAGGTACAGGCAGACATGTGAAAAGGTTGTACGGTATTTGCGAACGTCTACAGAAAATGACCGTTATTACACCGTGCATAAACACTGCACTGTGAGCTGATAGTGATGGCCACCTGCATGCAACTTTGTACTCTTTACCAGAAAGCCGCATGTAGTGCACGTCATATTATCAGGCCTGCTTCCTCAATCTCCGTCCCTCCTCCCACTTGGGAAGTTTCTAAATCCGTGTCCGGTCTGGTTGTCCGTGGAAGCAGAACAGCGATTAAAATGTAAATCTCACCAGCCCTCTTTTGTTTTCTCAGTCCCGTGCAGCTGCTGCTGCTGCTGCTGGCTTTAAGACTCAGCACTGGCCCATGTTAGTCCCTGGGCCAGAGCAGCAATTGGTACCAGCTAAAGTAGGAATACCTGAGTGGCGCCGATGTATTCACGAATGGCTGATACTGCTGAATGATTTGGTAACCGACTCGGTTTTAAATGTTTATCGCGCAATCCGTTGTTGTTGGTCACGTAAGTAAATTGTGACCCCGAATGCTACGCTACCTCTGATGGTACCGACGAGCACAATACAATATACCTGCTCTGGCCTCATGGACTACTACGTGGTCCAGTCGTGTGCGCAACGCGTGATGCTGAGCGGCGGTCACTCTGGCGCAGGGGTCGGCAAACTTTCAAAGAAGAAGAGCCATTTTTTTTCTTTGACCAAAATAGTTTGAGAGCCGCATCACCCGCAGAGCTACTTGTACACAATCGCAGCAGGTGTATGGCAGATGACAAACAATACACTTGGACTGTACATTTTGTTGTCGCCGAGACATTCCGTAGTGACCCATTCCCTGCCGTATGTAGTAAATTGTTTATTATCTTTGCATTAAATTATCTTTAAAATGGACGGATTTTTTTTAAACGACTGCCCGCATGCGGCTCCGGAGCCACAGGTGGCCGACCTCTGCTCGAGCGAAACGAAACAGAAAGCTTTTGACAAGCGTCAGTGTAAGCATTCATAGGCCGAGGGAGGATGGAATGAATAAATGTGTTAATTTATAATGAGGCGAGGGCCAACCAGAACAAAAATGTCTTCTTTTTTTTCCCCTTCCCGATGAGTACATTTTAAATTATACGGCACAGCTTCGAATTATAACGCGTGCATCGCACGAGAGTGAATCGGTTTCGTTTTGCATTTCAAGGACCCAAAGCGAAAGAGAAAATACAGATTAAAGACCCAATTAATATTGTCAGCAATGTCATCATCGTTACCATCAACGTCATCAGCCACGATCGGTCTACTGCTGTATGAAGGCATCCCCAAGTCATCACCATACCTCATGGTCCCGTGAGAGAGCAATCTGTCTACCAGCTGCACTTGATGGGGCATCGCGTGTGTTTGACGAATGCCAGGTCACCTGGTAAGAAATCGGGGCCACAACACAGCTGGGTGTGCACTGCACAAAATGCCCCAAAACAGCACGCCTTACCCTTACACCAGGCCAGAACAAAGAATACATCGTCTCAGTGAGTGCCTGCACTCTATGGTAAGGGCCGGAATGAGTTTGATCATGGCCTGGGGCCGTTAATACCTTCAGTTAATTCCCTTTAATGTTTTACCACCACTCACGCTAATAAATACTCCATTAATACCCATCTTGGTTTATTTCAGGTCAAATTCTTTTTAAAAAATGTGAATCAAAGTTAAGATGAACAACACCGCTTTCATTTTGGCACATGACTGGCAGTAACAGACCCTGATGCCATGGCTGTAATGACGAAGTTATCCTCCATAGGATATATAATTGTGCTTAAGTATTGCATTTGAACCGCTATAGAGCATTATGTGTATATATTGGGGGGCCCTCAAAATCCGAGGCTTTGGCCTACAGCCCCTGAAGCCGCTGCACTACCTTATCATCACTCAACTCCTCACTGGCAGTGGGTGAGTTCACTCCTTTCAATGTATTTATTTGTATTTTCAACAACAACCACAACAACCACAGCAACATATACCACGAGACAAAAGCCAGAATACACCACGTCCAGACATTGAGGGTAAACATACTGAACAATAGGTGCCCCTAGCTGTGATCGAGGGAACAAGGGAAATAGTAAACCAAGTGAAATGAAAGGGAGGGCAATGGAGGAATGGAGATAGAGCAGAGAAAGAAAAAGAAGAGATTGACAGGTGGTTAAGTACCCAGCGGGATGAACGGATCGAATCAATAGCCAGTCAACAAAGGGAGACCAAATCTTCCTATATCCCCCTGCGAGTCCACCACTTCAGATGTCGCCCTGCGTGTTTTGTTGACAGACGTGGCGTCCGCGAACGACTCCGACCCCAAACGGGGCCCACAGGGGAAGAGCGCGGAGGTGCCGATCGTCGGGAAGACAGCCGCCGCAGCCAACGCTGCCCCCGACGCCAAACCGCCCGGGTCGCCGCCGTTCTACAAGCGTCTCTTCTCCCGCGATGCCCCGGCGCGCTCCGACAACACCTTCAAGGGACGGCCCTCGGAGTCCTTCGACCCAGCGTCAGTGCCGGAAGGAGACGACGAGGGTTCCTCGGCGGAGGACGACTCGAAGGGTCGCGGTGATCAGCGGTCGACCTCGGATGAGAATAGGAAGTCGGGCTCGTCTGCAGATAGGGCTGTTGTGGATGGGGCAAAGGCCGGTGGGGAAGTTGGGAAGCCCTCAGCTGCAAGAGCCCCGACGGAGAATGCTCCACCTCCTCCTCGGGTCAACGGCAAGGAGAAGAAGGTAAGAGGTTAAGAATGTGGCAGTGGACGCTTTGTTTGCTTTGTGGAGGTATCTTGTACAGAGCGCTGTTGGTGAGACGGAGCGCAGCAATGTGGGTTTCTGCAGCTGGTGCCCATGCTTTCGTAATGTATGGTTTTATTGCAAGAGCATCAATAAGAAGTCACCATCATTAATAAATCATCATCTTGACTAATTAATCGCATCTTCAATAAATATTCATCATCAATAAAGCAGTCATCATCCTTATCAAATTATCATCTGGCTTTGTGCTCTTTATCAGCACAAAAGCTTCCCACACCAGTCCTGCCCAGTTCCAGACACACCGACAGGGCTGCCTGCCCATTTGTTTGCAGTGAACACACATCCTCTGCTTGCACTGCTTGTTATGTCATTGTCACTGTTACTCTCGCTATTGTCATTGTTGGGATCACTTCTCTGTCCATGCTTCCCCAGCAGGCGTCGGAGCTGGAGGAGGCAGCCAGGCCGGTGGCACAGGAGGAGGTGGCGGTCGTGAAGCAGAGCAATGACTCGCTGGAGGCCCCGGTGCAGGGCAAAGGCACGGCCCCCGTGGGTAAAAGTGCAATTTCCCCAGGCAGAGATGAAGTAGCCTCTCCGGGCAAAGATGGAGTCTCCAAAGGCAAAGATGGAGTCTCCCCAGCCAAAGATGGAGTCTCCACAGGCAAAGATGGAGTCTCCCCAGGCAAAGATGGAGTCTCCACAGGCAAAGATGGAGTCTCTCTGGGCAAAGCCGTGGCCCCCGCGAGTAAAGATGAAGCCGCCGTATCCCCTCCCAAGAGTGGCGGTGCGGATGAAGTGAAGGGGAAGGAAGAGAAGAATGAGGGCGAGGAGGACCTCACGTTCATAGAGAAGGTGGAGCGGTTCTTCACGGGGAAGGATGACAAGAAGAGCGATGGAGCAGATGCGGGGTCAGAGGTGAGAGGGCGCGCACATTTCCCTAATTCTATTGTCCAGGAAATAACGACAACTTGAAGTTGCATAGCATCTAAAATCATTTGTAAGAGATTATAAATGAATTTATGAATGCACTCGAATCTCTAGACTCAGTTTAAAACAATGTAGTCATCACAGCTCTCACAAATGGAGACCCAAAGAAAAAATACAAAAAAACATTAAATGTATTTTCACTGCATAGCAAGATACTGCACATATACATAAGTGTGACTAATACATCATCAAGGGACGTGAAATAGATTAATGTTTTTAATTTGTGTTGTTATTAATGTAGGACGCCTTGGTAAAACTTGTTTCTGCTGAGTTTCATCAGCAGTCAGGCCTTATAGACGGGTCATTGTTTAAGTTGATTGATCAATGTCTGTTTAAAAAAAATATATAAGCAAGAATACACGAGTTCCAGAGTGAATCTGTACATAGGTGAATATCACTCAAACTTTGCTCAGATAGGTCAGTGGCTACTTGTTGTACTATCTTTCTATGGGCATCACCTCATTAATTTGATGGTGGAAGCCTCATGTCCTTAAATGGTTTGATCCTTTCTTGATCAACCAACCACCACTTTCAAGCCATTGAATCGCAAGACGAGGGGATTGCCACCTCCAAGCTACAAACAACAAACACGTGTCTTTTTTTTAGTGGTGTATTATTGCGTATTATTGTACAACGGACAAAAAAAAGACAAGACTCCTAATGCCCCAGGAAGATTTACAGAGTCTCAAGGACGGTTACCGCAAATAGAGGACGATCCTGGGCACACCAGGACGGGAGGTAACCCGGGTCATGACCCCCGCACGCGGTCATATCATGGTGAGCTGCCATGGGAATCACTACGCGGCAAGACACACACACAGAGAGAGAGGCCTCCTTCGGGGAAACCGAGCAGAGAGGCAGGGCATGGGGCAAGAGGCAGGGATGGGAACGTAGCCCCCCTCCGTTCGCTCGCGCTGTCTGTGGCCCAGACCTCTCGCATTCATTATAACCGTACAGCCCTTTGTCAGTCCACTGCTGGTTGAAGGCCTCCCCCCGCGCTGTATCGGTCACGGGGGGCGGAGGGCCTCTTTGACCATGCTTCTTCACCGAGCTGGGCAGTGCGGGTTGGTGGTGGGTGGACCCTGTGTCTGTGTCACAGCCACAGACACAGGGTCGGTTCATAAGCCGACTGATGTTAGCCGTGGCCGGGAATCAAACTCAGGCCCGCCGGGTTAATAACCACCAGTCACCGCTTCATGAATGTTAACGTGAATACTGCAATCACCACAATCACAACGGCAGCGCGATGTGGTTCACCGCAGGTATGCCCAGTGTCGTAATTGCAAAGAGGCTTAACACGCAGCGTTTGTTGACGTTGGGACGTCGGCTGACGTTCGTGTGTTTTGGGACGTCGGTCGACGTTCGTGTGTGTTGGAACAACGTTGGTTGACGTTGGGCCAACGTTGGTCGACGTTCGTGTGTGTTGGGACAACGTTGGTGGACGTTCGTGTGTTGGGCCAACGTTGGTGAACGTTCGTGTATGTTGGGCCAATGTTGGTCGACATTCGTGTGTTGGGCCAACGCTAGTGGACGTTCGTGTGTTGACTCAAGGTCGGTGGACGTTCGTGTATGTTGGGCCAAGGTCGGTGGACGTTCGTGTATGTTGGGCCAATGTTGATCGACGTTCGTGTGTTGGGCCAACGTTGGTCGACGTTCGTGTGTTGGGCCAACGTTGGTCGACGTTCGTGTGTGTTGCGTGTCGGTGATAAGCGAGATGCAAAGCGGAGGAGGGGGCAGGGACCAGTTTTCAGGTAGTGTTCACCGCTGGTGTTTACTCGTGGCTGGGACATTTAATTTCAGGGCCCGGATTCACAGGGCAGTGTTGCTCACTGCTGCGCTGCTGCACCCCCCGACCCCACGTGAGCACATCCCATAGAGAGCTTTACTCGACGCTCGCCCGGGGCATGTCGGGGGTTTTTTTTAGTGCCCCCCCCCTGCCCCCACCTCTGGCCTCTAGCTGCCCGCTGCCCTTTGCGGTAGGGGTCGGGGCTGGTGAAAGTGGCCGGGGAGTGGCGTGGGTGGGTGGGTGGGGGCAGAGGGGGCTTGCAATGGGTGTGAAGGCACTTGGGGGGGGGGGGGGTGTGGGCGTCCTAAGTCAATAATTACAAAAATGTTCAAAGGAATGCCGCTGTTGCCCAGTTCACAACGTGACGGCGCTTATATGACGGTGGTGCACGTCGTTGCTGGACTTTTGCTCACAGAAAACAAGAGCTTTCACTGCAGCATCATGGCAGCTCGCACTATTCCTCCACATAGTCTCCACCAACGGCAGAGACAAAGATCCCCCGTGTAGCCTTAACAGACTGTTGGGGCAAGTGCTGTTAGCGAGTGCCTTTGAAGGGCGGTACGGCACACGAGGGGGTCGGTGGTCAGCTCAGCACCACGCCCGGCTGCCTTTGTCTCCCCACTGGTGATATCCACACACCGCACCAGGTACTCATTTGAGGCTGACTGGACCTAGGGGAGGCCCAGGACCGGGTTCGGATAATCGTCACTGGAGTTGGCCGTGAGTGGGAATCGAACCTGGGTCGCCGGGTTCTTAGTGCAGCGTGCTAACCGCTGCACTTCCGCTCCCCACAAAGCACTTCACCCGCACAATGGAACCACTTCTGCACTCGCGTCTCCGCTTGGTCGCCCGATTTCGAATCGTTGCCCTCCCAAGTGCTCCTTCGGAGGGCCAAACGGACGCAACCCATAATCAACATCAAGAGCTGCGATCGATCCGCTGCTGGATGAAGTCCTCCCCCAAAGTGGTCGCCCATATCCCACGGTCCTGCGATGCAACTATCCACTCGGCACTTGCACACGCGCACACACAGGAGCCGATCTCGCCGCTGCATCTCCGCGTCGGGCGTCCTGCCGGGCGTGTTTTTGTTTCTCCCTCCGAGTGCCACTCCGTCGTTAATCTCAACCACCAGCCACTAATTCCTTCGTGCGGCGTTTCCTGCCCAAACCCGCTACGTTTAAAAAAAAAGAAATCAAGGCGATGTCTCCAACACGCGCTATGTTCGCGTGTGTTTATGCAGACTTTGAGAAAAAAATTGTATAGAAACTCTTAGTGCGCACGCATACAAAGTAGCGTTAGCAGTGATAATTATATTTGTCACATTCAATTGCACCAACTTCATCGTATGCGTTCTGGAGTAATGTTAGGATTAAGGAAGCAATTATAATTTTATCGTTTTCAAAGAATATTCGTTTTTGTTTCTGCCAGCTGACTATTCCTGGTACAAAACCCACAAAGTGTGCAAGAGGTTGCAATAATAATGAAAAAGCTCATTCCAAGTTTTCATTCATAGCAGCATGAGGGGGAAAAAATCCTCACGACATTCCATCATTATCATTGCCTAATCACAGAGCTATTGTAAGCATTGGATTCATACTTTAGACACTGGCACCGCTAAGCCCTTTGAAGTGTTAGCGGGTTGTACTGCGCGTCGAAGTTGAAGATGCTTCACTCCACGTGCTGAGAGCTTCTTTAATACTTCAGTTCCTGAAAAAGCTCCCAACGTGTTGAGTGAAATATCGGGACATCGTGCCGAACAACATCGGAGAGCCGTACGGCACAACTGCGCAAAACCGACGCGGTGTCTGTATGTATGTACGTTGAAGTTCTTTGGCACCCTACGAAGTTGATTGTACTAATCCGTATCGCAGCCTCTACGATGGTGTCAGGACAACCGCGTGGGACTTTTATTAATGCCACCAATTTAAACACGCTTCAGCAACACTAATACTTTTATCACAGATTTTATGCGGAAAATAAAAAAAAACAATACAGGATGCATTTTTTTGGTTTCACACAAAAAAGGGGCGTATTATGAGGGTGCCATTTTCTGCTGCTAGACCTGTGAAGGGGAATCTAATTTACACTTGTTCCTAAAGCACCCAGACAGATCCGTCATCACCGATTTTTTTGAGAGGGGGATGAACTGCTCTGACTGCCGAGCCGTTCATTTATCATTACACAAAATTCTCAGCCTCGTCGGTGCGGTGGGCGCATGCCTGGAATCCGGCACTGTGGAGGCAGCAGCGAGGGTTGCTGGATCACTGCACACGAATGTGCTGAGACTCCGTTCCCGTGCGCGTCGAAGTGCCATTCCCAGGCTCGTCAGGAGAAGGCAGTACAGCAAGTGGACTAATCGCCATCGGTTTCCATCTGTACGGTTACCTCCTTGCATGCATGGGTTCTCTGTAGGCGCTTTGGGTTTTCTCCCACGCGTAGTGTAAACGCTCATCATTAAGTGTCTGAAAAACATCTTAAATTAAAAAAAATATATGCAGGACCCCACCTGCAAAAAAAAAAACAATCCTACCACTCAGCAGTGGCTGGTTATCCTGGATGATCAAGAATCAGTCAAATGTTCCTCGTTGGATACGCCCGCGGTGAGTGACGCAGGAGGTGTCCACGCGCGTGTCATCGCCGTCTCGGTGGGGCGCGATCGTGCACTTGTCTGCCCATCCCCAGGCAATTGAGGTGCGCGGGGCGGTCGCGCTCGCTTCGTGACGCCGGGCGCTTCAAACAGCCCGCGGGGCTCGCGTTCCAAGCCTGGCCTGAAGTCTTCTGATTCGGTTTGCGGGGTCCTGAGTTTCACGACGCGCGTTTCCGCCGTTTCTGCAAGCATGTGATGCTACGCAGTGCCAGCTCGCACTCTGCTCTTTTGTGTTAAGTTTGTTGGGCCCAGCCCCCACTACCCTTGCCGCCACACCTCCAAATTGGCACGGTCGGCTACGTACGGCGCGAAATAAGTTCAAACGCTCTTCCAGCCCCACGCCTACTTTGCCCCCTCGCCCACCCCTCTCTACCCCCACCTGTCCCCCTGCTACACGACCGCTGATTAATGCTCATCGATGGAATATCTTAAACACGCGGTAGCGCACGCAGAATCTTTATTTGTTTTCTTTGTCCTGGAGGAATCCGATGAGCT